AATGCGAGGTATGTACGGCTGCTGTCAGTCGGAGGACGAAGCTTGCGTAAAGAATATGCGACGAGCTGTAGCTTGGTAGTTTTGGCTATTCTTTGAATTCTCTGCATCTTTGGTTTTCCATGGTGGTTATAGTGAAAACAAGGAGCTTCAAAGGTGTCTTGTGATTTTGGTAGTTTTTAGAAGACTTGAGGTGGGAGCTAGACATGAACACTAAGAAGTCGCAAGCGAAAATCCATCCATGAAGTCGATTTGCGTGCTGCTCTTTAATGAAAGCGGAGCTTGGAGCGAAATGGAAAGCATTGTTAGGCATAAGACTCAGTATTGTGTATAGCTTCTTCCCTTACTCATGACTTTATCCCATGATTACTTCATGATCTTGGAATTCTGCTATTATCTTAAATTGACTATTTTATGACTTGACCAAATCCTGAAATTTGTCATGACTCTCGCTTACATTGATCATACTAACATCTTTTCATCTCATGTATGTGTGATGGGAGTGCAGGCCATCGTAGTCTTAATCGAACCGTAAAGCTTACATTGAGGGAGTATTTGACCGTGACAAATGGATTTCCTGTAGAACTTGGCAAGCAATCTCAAGAGTTTTTTTTTTAACCGAGTCCAAGTAGTGTACAGTGGAGATCAAAAGGTCATAAGGCTGCTGTATTGAAGCAATTTTCGAAATGGCGACTGCATCCTTTTGGACTCATTTCTGTTATAGTTGATGATGGAACTGGTGATACTTTGTAGCTTATACTTTTTTCTTTGAATTCTATGCATCTTTGTTTTGTTTTGAAGAGATAATGGTGATGTTTGTTGCGTTTGGGATATCGTACAAATTATGCAGGTACCTTTTGCAATTGTGAGATGTGGTTCTTTTTTGAGATTTGCCGCTGTTTTGGTTTTCTTGGCTCGAATAACAGTTTCACCTGTTTTCTTTCAGATGCACTCCTCTTCTATTCATGGAAAGTCCGTAACGAAACGAATATGTGTGCAGCTCTGAAGTCATGATTTATTCGTCTTCGTCCCTTGGCAGATTTGAATCTTAAAGTGTCGGTTGCTGCCGGTGCAAGCTTGTTTTGTTCTGATTTTATTTGAGGTTGCAAATCTCTTGTTTATGCAGTTTGTGATCTATTACATATGAGGCCCAGGCGGGTGTTTTTTGTATTTAAGTGGTACATTTTGAATCATGAAGGTTCTTCCTTGTAAATTTTGTAATCAACACTTACTCATTATTAGCTAAATACAGTTTATAGCATTATGGTCTGTGTGTGTTGTTTTGATAATTTGCTGAACTGATGACCCTTCTCACAACGGCCCTTTTGATTAAAAGCCATGCCATAGACTTAGTTTCAATTGGTTTGATATAGGTCACTTGAACAGGGAAGAAGAAACGAGAATGACGGTGTTGCTGCTGTACATTATGGCTTTGGGGCACAAACTTCTAATATATTTTTCACCAACAACCTGACATCAATATGTACCAAACAACTAGCACAATTCTAACATTAGTCATACTATTTATGGCCTTACTGAATGGTGCATTCTTTTGAAAACAACAATTCTCATCTTTGTGGGCGATCTTGAAAATAAATTGAATAAATTTATGGCTTGAAGCAACTTCCCCATGACTTAGGAACTTGAAAACGACCCTATCCCGAGACTTTTAAACGCGCCCGGCCATGGATCTAGGATAAATCAACCATGCTCTTAAAACATGAATGGTTTTAACCAGGGCCCATTTTTAGATATAATCAGGAATAAACTTGGAGCAAATCCAACCGAGGCCTAGCTTATATAACCATATGACTCTATGCCAACTTGAAAACATGACTCAAAAATGGATCAAATAAAACATGGAATGCACTTGAAACAGGGTTTAAAAACCCTTGAAACTAAATAATTAAGTCTCAACTAATCGCGTCTAAATTCCGTTATGACTTGAAATTTGCAAGTTAAATCTAGGTTTGTCACAAACTGATTTTAGAAATCGAACACAGCTAGACGCTTGCGTTCAATCCAAAGAAAGCTTGAGGTTAAATCGACCGTGTCTAGAAGCAAGTACCTCTGAACAACTTGGATCAGGTGCATATCGTAACAAGCAACTTTATACAAGCAACTTGTAATGAGACTTATTTAAAAGGAAGTTTGAAATCAAGTTGAGATAAGGTTTAAATCTCTTGAAACTGTGTGGCAAGATAGATCCAATCATATACTTTATGTCATTAACCATATCATGTCTGCCTGATCGTGAGAACGCGGACACACATGAGTTTGGGTACAAGGGCTGGAGGCGCGCTCCTCCCATAAATGGCTAGAGATTATAACCATAATTTGTACACACATGGTCTTTATAAACGAAGCCTTAGAGAGTCATGGCCAGAAGTCCTGAAGCAGTAAAATTCTTTAAATGCTGAAGTAGGACAAATTTGGGGTATGACACATGGCAGCAGAGTTTGTGAATTGCTTTGAGGCATCAAATAATGCAATTTGGCTGCGGAACTTTGTCATAAGCCTACACATCGTTAGAAGCATTAAAATGCCATTGAAGGTTTATTGTGAGAATAATGCAGTTGTGCTCTACTCTAACAATAATATGAATTCTACAAAATCAAAATTTATTGATATCAAGTATCTTGTTGTGAAAGAAAGAGTTCAGGAGAAACAAATCTTGGTAGAACATATAGGGACATACTTCATGTTAGTTGATCCATTAATCAAGGGTTTATCACCTAAGACTTTTCATGGGCATGTTGCTCATATGGGCCTTGGTTTTGAGATTGCCTTAGATTAGTGGGAGTTTTTTTTTCTTAATTTTCTACGTTCTAAGCTTTGGTTTTATTTTGGTAAAAACTTTATGTTATGTTTAATTTTATGCAGAAATAAAACTTATGAGGTATTATTGTTATAACAATATCAAGTTTTTTTATATGTGCAAATATTGTAACTTTGAATTGCATCTAAGGAACTTCAATTTGATCTCAATAAAGACTCCAGTAGGACCAGTTAAAAATATGCATGATTTAGAGATCACATTGCATGAAATTTTCATGCCACCCATCCATATCGATCTATGTCATCAAGTACATTGATGTGGTGGTCGTCGGAGTTCCATCACGTTATACGTTAGTGACGCCAGCCGCGGTGATCCCATTATTTATGTATGAGGTGGACTAGATTGTAAAGTTGAAATCTAAAGATAAATAGCATTCCGATGCATGCCTAAAGAATTATGATATGATTATTTAGATATATTTGTCAAATGGGAGATTGTTGGAATATTTTAATATATTAATATTTCAATAATTATGTGGCCAAATATATTTATTTAATTATCTTATCTATTTTATCAAATAAAGTGTCTTAAATAATTATGTGATCAAATAATGTTAAAAGACTATTTAGCTTTTATTTGGAAATTATTTAATTAATTAATTAAATAAATAATTAAGTATGGACTCAAACATGAGTGAATGTCAGGATGATCCATTTGGTAATAATGAGAACCCTAATTAGCCATCACACTATATATAGGATATGGTCCCCAATATACCGTACAACAACCAAATTATCTCTTCTCTCCATCTGAAGAGAATTCGAGGCATAAGGAGTATCGGTTGAGGAAGAACCACAAAATCCATCAACTTCTGGATTTAGGATTACCTTCAAAGAGGTTTTTTTTTCTCTCAATGGATCCAGGTATTCTTAAAATTAATTTCTCAATACTATCATTTTATACACATTTGTATAACTATTTTTAATTCCTCATAATATATATGGCATCGTATGCTAAGCATGTATATTGAATTGATTTAATTCTAACGAGGAATTTTTTACCAATATGCCACATACTGAAATTAAAAGTATCAATATGCCACAAGTTGAAAAAAATTGACCAATGTGCCACGATTTCTGAAAGGGCTCGTCCTTCCATTGGACAACCCTATGAAGGACGCAACTCCATGAAGGGGCTTGGCCAACCATTGATCGACCCTTTGAAGGTGTTTTTTTTTATTATTTTAAATAGAAATATAAAATATTTATTATGATTTTATATATTTAATTATTTTTTAAATATTAAAAACTCATTACATGATTTAAAATATTAATGACTTATATAATAGACATTACAATTTAGGAAATATTTTTTAAAATAATTTAAAAAACAAATAAACTAATTTAGACGGATCGATTTGACGGACCTGCTATATTCAGACATTTTCTACGCATATGGTCAATTTCTCGACATATTCCACATCTTCTCTTTTCTTTCACAAGATCGGCCATTTAGGTTCTAATTCTTGTACTATTTGGATGCCCTTTCTTATTCCTTCGCGTTGTATCGTCATGGTAAAGAGTGAATCCTTCATATGTTGGCCAATTTTGGTGGTGTGGAAGTTCAAGGAAGCTTTCGATGTAGACTTTGAATACACTCAGAACCTTGAAAACATCTGGCATGTGTATGTTATGGGCCTGTCGTATACTAGCACATGCTGTGATTACATGGGAGCAAGGTAAATGAAATGCTTGAAACCTCCCACAATCACACCACCCTCTCCCAAGATCAACGCTAAAAGTACCTAATGGTCGGCCATCGTGTTGATTTATGCTTTTGGCAACCATAAAACAAAATCTCTCGCGATCAAATTGAATGACATTATGGCTGCTAGATATACTCGCTTCGTCGGCCATTCCCTTATTACGGTTTTCTGTGAAAGTTTGACCGGATGCCAACATTTTTGTCCAATCGTGTCCTCATTTTCCAAACAGCGATTCCAGACGATAGAATGTTGACTTGACCAATGCTGTAATAGGAAGGTTTTGGGTAGCCTTAAGTACCAAGTTCATAGCTTCGACCAAATTTGTTGTCATGTGTCCCCACCGCTGTCCTCCGTTGAACGCTCTCGACCATTTCTCTCTGGAAATACTGCCTATCCACTCCAAAGCTGCTCTATTTGTTCTTCGTATTTCGCCCTGGTAGTAGTTAAATGTTGCCTCTGTTAGTGCATATTCTGTAAATGAAAATGTTTAAACAAAATGTTCAGTAAAACATATGAAAATCAATTAGTCAATAAATATTTATTGAAACATCAACTCGTGAAGATGTAGGCATACCCATGTTGACAACTGTTTTCCGTAGTTCTTTGTCTCTGAACTCACGCATGAAGTTTTGAGTAATGTGTCATCCTTTGTCTCACCTTCTACCAATGTGAATGCTATCGGGAAAATGTTACCATTTCTATCGTGTGCCACAGCCATCAACAAAGTCCCTTTGTAATTTTCGTACAACCAGGTTCCGTCAATTTGCACAATAGGTTTACAGTAAGTAAAACCACAGATACACGGTTCAAATGCCCAAAAAAGTCGGTGAAATTTCCGTTTGTCGCCCAATTGGGATCCTTCGTCTGTAATAATTGGCAATGTTTCCAACTGTATAACAGTTCCAGGAAGATGTGTCTTCATCACCAACAACCATTGTGGTAAGTCATTGTACGACGTCTCCCAATTCCCAGAAAGTAATTCTACGACTTTAATCTTTGCAATCCAAGATTTCCGATATGAGATTTTATAACCGTATTTTTCAACAATATGGGTTTGTATCACTTTGACTTTTAGTGAAGCGTCGCTGTTAACATGTTCCCTGATGTTGTGGCTAATAATTTCATAATCTAATTTTCTATGACCCTGTGACATAGAAGTTGTTGTGCAAGTGTGTGATCCGTTTATAGTAGTGATCTCCCATAATGTGCTCTTTTTACGCAATGCAACTCTACATGTGAAGATGCATTGTGGGTTCTTACATTTTATTATATACCTTACTGAATTAGATTTATATACTGCATAGTCAAAATTGTTACTTATATGCCAATGTTGCAAAAAAAGAACACACACTTCCTTTTTTCAAACACCAAACCTACTTCCAAGTTGTCACCAATATGGTTTGGTTTGTCTATTTCAAAATATAGATGGGTTGAGAAGACTCTAGACATATGTTTGACATATGCACTGGTGGATTATACAGATTAATGGGTTGAGCATTTATTACCTGTGAATGCATGGGGAACACATCCTCTTCATCACCATCACCGAATAGATATTTAAAGCGAACATCACGGAGTTCATTGTCACTGTATTCACCAACCTCCTTGTTCCGTATGAAAGGTTCATTATTTTGCGTTATTTCTTCATCAGTTGTTTGGCTCACTCCGTATTGATGTGAATATGATGACTGCGTTGGATATGCTTCGTCATTAAGGTGAACATATAACTCAGTCCTCTTCAAATGAGGCATTGTGTAATGACATTGGAACATTGATTTGACTGCATTGTCTATATCTATCTGCATCATTACGTAGAAGACACCACCATCTACCCCATTAGGTAATGGTTGACGGTAAATAATATCCTGAACTGAGCGTTGCACTTTTTTTTATTCTTTCTTTTAGATGAAGAATATTAGAACTACAATGAAGTTTGAACATCACTGTATTTGTTCTGTTGAATGAGAAACCAATATTTTGATCAGTGAACACATAACCATTATAGTGAATGGTGACCATTGTATTTCTATCTGCCATAGCTTTGATACAGACAGTGTGTGAGTTGGATGGGAGTCTACAAGACATGCATGCAAAATATATAGTGATGAGTGCATGCTAAACACGTGTAGGGTCGTCCATCCAAAGGACGAGTGCATGCTGAACACGTGTAGGGTCGTCCATCCAAAAGACGAGCCCTTGAAACAAACGTGTAGGGTCGTCCATCCAAAGGACGAGCCCTTGAAGCTAACGTATAGGGTCGGCCAACCAAGTGACGCACCCTTGAAGCACATGTGAATGCATGTCATTTGATTGGCTTATGGTGCAATGTGTAATATTAGGGTGCAGCGTGTAATAATAGGGATGCAGAGGAATCATGTAGGGGGAATCATGCAGAGTCAATAATTTTGACTCATCTATTTTTTCAACGGATAATTGCATGGCTCACAAATTTTACTCATCTCTTTTTCTTATAAATAGCAACAAATTTTATTCATATGCATTGCAAAAACTACAAACTAAACCAATACTTCAACACCTTCATTGTTTCATCAGTTATAAAATATTCTAAATGGCAATGTTGTGGATGGGAGAAAACCATCGGGGAACACCGACCGATGTTGCCGCCTATGTAAGTTTTTTTTCTCCATACTTGTGTTTAATATTACATCATTACGTTGTATTTATTTTTCAATATTTGAAACAGTCCAACAACGAGAGATTTAGACTACATTCTCATGATATCGGTGCACCAAGTGACGCAATCAAACCATATTTAGAACGAGCAGGTTTCGCAAAAGTTGCAGAAATAACCACTATCAATGTTGATTCAAAGCTCGTACTTGCTATGGTGGAGAGGTGGAGACCAGAAACACATACTTTCCATCTTCCAACAGGTGAATGTACCATCACGTTGGAGGATGTAAGTATGTTATTAGGTATCCATGTGAATGGTAAGGTTGTGAATGGTCCTACTCAGGTAGGCAGTGATGTATATATGGAAAATTTAGGTATCGAACCTTCGGCATCTGATAAACATAAAGCCCGTGTTAAAAAATTTTGGCTACAAACTATATTAGCATAACTACGACAAAACCCATCACCATTCGATAAGGAGAACCTTCTCCATGCAAAAATTTATATATTACTACTCATAGCTAAAGTATTGATGCCAGACAAGAGCCATAACTATTTACATTCTTCTTAGATACCCCTAGTAGAAGATTTAGATAAATGCAATAGATATAGTTGGGGTTCTGCTTGTTTAGCTACATTATATAGGCATGTGTGTAAAGCATGTAAGGTAGGGGTAAAAAGTATTGGAGGGTGCATTCTCCTACTAAGTGTTTAGACATATTGGCATATACCACTAATTTCTCCAGAGAGTTCCATCGATTCATACAATCCTTACGCAACAAGGTAAAAATTATTTACATTTTCTTTTCTTTTCTTTTCTTTTTTTTCACATCCCTTTATTACATTTCTTTCTTTTAAAATTACACGATTTGTTCGAAGAGGCATGGCTTTCCAAAATAATCCTCGGCACTACGTCTGAGAATTTAGATTTGCACTAGATAGATTGAGGGCTAACAATGTAAGTTTGTTACCGATGTATTCTCTAAATATATGCTAACATATGTATTTAAACTCTAATTATTATACTTTCATTAATAGTTTATTTGGAGGCCTTACCCGAACTACCCAGAATGCGTCCTTGCAGATAGCCAGATTTGGAGCGCGGCCACTTTAATTATCAGTTTTCATATTGTTGAAATGCATCAAGCTGATAAGGTAAAATTACAGTTTGGATTTCAACAAGATATCCCTTCTCAGCCTAGATGTCTACGCAAACAACATGAAACTGAAATGCCCAATACATGGGGAGATCATCGGCGCAATATAAATAGAGAAGAGAATAACGAGTAGAAAAACAAGGAAAAAAATTGACCCTACAAGGTAACATGGTTAACGGTAACTATGTTCATAGTACTGCATATATGCAATGGTTTTTATCCATTCCATTTATGCATGCTTCTCAAGGCCAGTTCCTAGAAGACCCCCGTCAATATACATCGTCTTCATCACAATAAAGATCCTCGTCGTCCATGCCTCAGGAAATGCCTCAAATGAACCCTTCGTAACTTCAATCCTAAACATCTTCATTCACCTAGCCCGCATACCAACACCCCTAACCCACACAACCCCAACCAACATATCAACGCACTCATACCACATTCTTTGCCACCTCCTCTCAACAACCAACACCATACACCCCAATCCCACAACATAACTTCTACTACCACCAAGAATACCAGGAACAATCCACATTTCGACCATCTTTCCAATTCATTCCAATTCCTCTACCTAATTTTGATTTCTCTTACCCCCAATCATAACACCAAACATTTGACCTTTCACTGGCTCAACTGACTTCTACCGGCTGCACCGACGATGTTTATTACCCTCCCATCCAACAAAGCCCTTCAACCACCTGCTGCCGGTGCAAGCTTGTTTTGTTCTGATTTTATTTGAGGTTGCAAATCTCTTGTTTATGCAGTTTGTGATCTATTACATATGAGGCCCAGACGGGTGTTTTTTGTATTTAAGTGGTATATTTTGAATCATGAAGGTTCTTCCTTGTAAATTTTGTAATCAACACTTACTCATTATTAGCTAAATACAGTTTATAGCATTATGGTCTGTGTGTGTTGTTTTGATACCTTGTTGAACTGATGACCCTTCTCACAACGGCCCTTTTGATTAAAAGCCATGCCATAGACTTTGTTTCAATTGGTTTGATATAGGTCACTTGAACAGGGAAGAAGAAACGAGAATGACGGTGTTGCTGCTGTACATTATGGCTTTGGGGCACAAACTTCTTATATATTTTTCACCAACAACCTGACATCAATATGTACCAAACAACTAGCACAATTCTAACATTAGTCATACTATTTATGGCCTTACTGAATGGTGCATTCTTTTGAAAACAACAATTCTCATCTTTGTGGGCGATCTTGAAAATAAATTGAATAAATTTATGGCTTGAAGCAACTTCCCCATGACTTAGGAACTTGAAAACGACCCTATCCCGAGACTTTTAAATGCGCTCGGCCATGGATCTAGGATAAATCAACCATGCTCTTAAAACATGAATGGTTTTAACCAGGGCCCATTTTTAGATATAATCGGGAATAAACTTGGAGCAAATTCAACCGAGGCCTAGCTTATATAACCATATGACTCTATGCCAACTTGAAAACATGACTCAAAAATGGATCAAATAAAACATGGAATGCACTTGAAACAGGGTTTAAAAACCCTTGAAACTAAATAATCAAGTCTCAACTAATCGCGTCTAAATTCCGTTATGACTTGAAATTTGCAAGTTAAATCTAGGTTTGTCACAAACTGATTTTAGAAATCGAACACAGCTAGACGCTTGCGTTCAATCCGAAGAAAGCTTGAGGTTAAATCGACCGTGTCTAGAAGCAAGTACCTCTGAACAACTTGGATCAGGTGCATATCGTAACAAGCAACTTTATACAAGCAACTTGTAGTGAGACTTATTTAAAAGGAAGTTTGAAATCAAGTTGAGATAAGGTTTAAATCTCTTGAAACTGTGTGGCAAGATAGATCCAATCATATACTTTATGTCATTAACCATATCATGTCTGCCTGATCGTGAGAATGCGGACACACATGAGTTTGGGTACAAGGGCTGGAGGCGCGCTCCTCCCATAAATGGCTAGAGATTATAACCATAATTTGTACACACATGGTCTTTATAAACGAAGCCTTAGAGAGTCATGGCCAGAAGTCCTGAAGCAGTAAAATTCTTTAAATGCCGAAGTAGGAAAAATTTGGGGTATGATAGATGCCTCTATCTAATTGCCTTAAACCTGAGGGAATGAACAGCTGCATGGCGTTCATTTTTAGGGTGGAAGTCAATTAGATACAAAAAGACCCCGAAATTTGTCCGACAAGCAAGTAAAAATGCAAAGAGATGGGATATTCCAGAACGGGATGACAGGATGCAAAAATAGATGAACGAGATAACCTGATATTACTTGGGTGGTCGAAGCAGTCCCTTATCCATTAAGGCTCTTCGATGATACCAAAGCAGTATCTTAAACAAAACTTGAGATTCTTCGG